CCCCAACCTTCCCAACCTCTTTTTGTCAATCATTTACATTGAATGTCTTTTACAAACATATGTCAGGGGAATAAACCCAGGATTTTTAAATACTGGTCTAAATAAATTGATGGTAACTTCCCCTTAACAAGTTTTATCGTGATGATGTCGAAAGATCATTATTGTTTCTTTTATTTCTTTGTAGTTCTTTCATAATATTAATATTCGTTTTATAACGTATGTCCAACGAAACGGCGTCTGTGGTGTAGCAGTTCGGCGCTTCGCTGTCGTACGCAGAACACCTGAGTTCGATTCCTGAGTAGGGATAATGTATTGAGTGTCTCGATGTTGTGTCTCTCTCAACATGGGCTGGCACTGACAGGCAGGGTCGGAAGCCTGTTTCCTAAATTAACATAATCCAAAGCATGTCGGTAGTGGCTTGATATCACCTACATTTTTTTAAAAAAGCATTTAAAAATTATTTTTTTCATTTTTTTCAAAAAGGCGAAACGACTGTTGTACATCACTTCCACCACGAATCGAACACTGGGATGAGAAGAAGCGGGGATCTGACGCTCGACAGTAGCGGTTCACCTAAAGGCGACCATCACGTGAGCAAACGACGCGCAGAGTGGCCGAATCAAGGCACGCTCTCTCATTGGACCAATATTATTATCTCTAAGATAGGAGAGCTCTCACAACGCTCTCCCCAAGCGAAGTCCCTTTCGCACCATAATGGCGTCCATGAGGTCACGGCGTTGGATCAGTTCAGCAGTGTGGGAGACTTGGTGGAGAAGACGAGAGAGGAAAACTTTCGCCAGTTCTTGAATCGGAACGAGCTCTTGAGAGAGAGGATTGCGGACGGGCTGAGAGGTGACGCCGTTTGGAGGAACTGGCTCTCTGCGAGGGGTGGAGACACCACGGACGATGCGACGGGTAACAGCATCGAGAAGGGAACCTATTCCGCCACGGATCATACCCACGATTCTGCAGGAATTAGCAGCGGTCATACTGGTGAAGTCGAGACTGGAACATCTGCCACGGAACATGCTGACAATGCTACAGAAAACGTCAAAGGTCAAGGAGAGGGAAAAGGTCAAGGAAATGGCAACGGTAAAAGACCACCTGGCAAAGGTCGTGGCATGACAATAACTCACACACACGACGGCGTGACACACACTCACGTCTTCGACGAGTCCGGCGTGCAGATAGACAACCACTCCCACAGACACGCCGGTGTCAACGACGCGCTGGCAAAGGATGACCAGGCGGAGGAGGGTCATGACGTCACAGACAAGACCGTGCCCTCTCTGGAACCTCAGAACGTAACACGTCATGAGCATGACGGCTCAACGCACGCACATCAAATACCGCCACTCACTCCTCATAGCTTTACACATACTCACGACGGTTCAACACACACGCATCTTCATCACCTACCCCCACTCACTCCTCACACATTCACACATACACACGATGGTTCAACACACACTCATCACCACATACCCTCACTCACTCCTCACACTTTTACACATACCCATGACGGATCAACACACACGCATCATCAAATTCCCCCACTCACCCCTCACACTTTCACACACACCCACGACGGATCCACACACACCCACCACATATCAGCTGATGGTCAGTTCAGCGATAACACGGGACACACTCACTTTGCTCCTCATGAGAATGACAAGACGGATAGACCACGCAACAGTGCGTCACATGATGGGGAATCTTTCACTCACACACATGACGGTGTTACACACACACATGATAGTGACTCACACACTCATGATAATGACTCTCACACACACGATAGTGATTCTCACATACACGAGAGTGACAAACACACGCATGACAGTGACTCACACACCCATAATAGTGGCTCATATGTACACGATAGTGACTCTCATACCCATGACAGCGTTACACACACCCATAACGGCGTTGCTCACACTCATAACGGGTTTACACACATCCATGATAGTGACTCACAGACACACGATAGTGAATCACACACACATAATAGCGTTACACACACTCACAACGGCGTCAGACACACACATTACTGGAACTCTGACCAAACTCATGCGGACACCCCATCACCAAGGAAGACCTCTTCAGGTGGAGCAGGTGAAAACTTGAACTCCGCCGGCTCGGATCGGAGTGAGGCTCAAATCAACGGCCACCCTTCTTATGGTGTTCCCAGTTCTTCTACTGCTCGTGGGGATAAATTAAACGTAACATTCGAGCCTCCCTCGAACACCAGCTCCTCCGACTCTGATAAATCGAAGAGCACCCCGAGTGCGAGGAATCATTCGAATGTTCCTCCGAATACTCGAGGTTCGTCCGTTGCTGCAACACCCAGTCGTAGGGGACATGGGAATCCTCGGAAGCGTCAGGCCGAAGAATCGCCGAATAATTCGGATGGGTCCTACTTTCGGGTCGTCCGCAAGAAGCTCCCAGGTGGATGGAGTGTGACTCACACGCACGGCGGAGTCGCCCACTCCCACTTCGTTAACGAAGACGGGACAACGAGAGGCCGTGCCCACCACAAACACGACCACAAGACGACCGTGAGACACCAACACAGCAGCGGCAGCGTCCCTAGCAACGGCGGCGGCGGCGGAAGTTGGGCCACAATGACTCGCTCTCACGACGGTTCTTCTAGCCACACAAGTCACGGGACGGAAGACGACGATTTTTTCGAGAGTTCGGGGTACTCTCATTCCTCGCAGTCACACTCCTCTAGTTCTTCTTTTTCCCACACTCACGACGGCTCCACACATACACATTACGGAAACGACGACTGGGAATAATGAACATATTATTATTGTAATCACCATCAACATCATCATCTTCATCATAAGCAGCAGCAGCAGCAG